TATGTTGCAGCCAGTTTCCTCAAGTAATAATTCTAATGACTGATAATTCTATTGGAGTTTTCTCATTATATATCTGTGATGCAACTGGGATCCAGGCAACAAGCATAAAATATCATTAAGATGATGAATATTTCTCATAAAAATCAACCACAGAATTAAATAAAGCATAGTGAAGGAATACATCCTCTTGCCTGATGTGAGACACATTTTTGTACAGATTCTAATTTAATTTTTCTGTATAAAACTATTTTTATTTTAACTAAACAACCATGTAACACTTCATCCATTAACATGTTGAGCCATTAGACTTCATGAATTAAAATTCTTAATAGCTAATAATTTCAGTTTTATCTTCTATCTTGTACACTACAATTAATTACAAAATTATAATAACAATAATGAATAATTTATAGTTTAATTTATTTTTATATTTTCTTTACATTCAAAATTTTTTCTTGTTCTATTATTTATATGACTACAAAATTTAAATTTTGAGTCATATAAATTTATACTCTAAATGCTCTTAGTCTAAATGCTCAAGATAGTATAGTGATACCTCGACTTACGCTACCCCGACTTACGCGAACTCGGAGTTACGCAATTTTCAAATCGCGTCGATTTGTCTTTTGTTTGAGTACCATACAACTTTTGATTACTCACTCCCCCCATACTATTGTTCGGCTTACATATTCGGACGTGTCGCGTGGAATTGACACATAGCTACAATTTATTTTGTGTTATTTATTTCTTTGTTTGTTATATCTACGGAGACTTGAGAGACTCTATATGGTGATTTCTTGTTATCATGAACGAATCAAATGATGAGATAAGATTAATGAGAACATTTATTAGCTTACATACATCCGACTTGGATTTTACACAAATTGCGAAATTATACCCCGACTTACGCGAATTCGACTTAGCGGTTATTGCTCAGTCCCACCTATCACGTAAGTTCGGGGTATTACTGTATTTTACTTTTGTTAGATATGTTTTGGTGTTTTCCTAGATAGAAAATAACATTCTGACTATTAAAAATTGTTAGAACAATGATGAGGCAGTCCTTTAACTTACAATTAAACTTTATTCTAATCTAAGATTATATATACACTTGTCCACACATACATAACTTGGTGCCAACAGAACAGTTTCTTCCCGCTTCTAGCTGTCTTACACAGGGTGTTTCCAATCTATCAACAGTTCGTGACATTGATACTCGCTTTAGTTTCGTATTCCCTAACAAAAACTCCTTCTAAAGTACAATCTAAAAAACTCCAAGTACTTGCTTACTCATATACAGATTAATGTTTTTGATCCTTTCCACTGGATCTTTATCAGGTCTATGGATTTTTAGATTTGGAATGCTTTTGATTATCTTCACAAACATTGTTTTTTGAGCATCATTGTGTTCTTTAAAAATGTGTTTGATTTCTTGTATATGTTTAAGTTTAAAATCATTTGGTGACATTGATATAATAAAATAATAATCTTTGCAACAGTTGAGGTTTCTTTAAAATAATAATTCTTGTGTTTTTATCAGTTTTTAAATTACATTTCTTGCATTGGTTGCATGTTTTTTTTTTTTTTTAAATAGAGTCTGCCAAGCATAGGACAACTGTTCTCTTTTCTTTTGAAATTAATATTTGTCCTTGCTTTTTGGATTTATAAATTTCTAGCTCTTCCAGAGCTCTGATATCTAATCGTCTGGATCATCTTGTGATGAAGGTATTCTGTAGATCAGCATGGATGTCATTGTCCGAAGCATGAATAGATAAGGAAATGGTATATTTCTTGTTGGTGGTATCATAATTATGTTCTGCTAATCTTTTTTGTAGAGTATGTATGGTGGAACTGATGAATTATAATTTTCAATGGATTCTATGATCTGTTACTGGAATGTGATACACTCCCAGTAAGTGGAATTGGTTGGTCATGTCATTGTTGTTGCATAATAGGTTGTGTATAGTAAGATTGCATATGTATGCTATCTTGACATTCTTATGTTTTGCTATTTCTTATATACAGTCTTCAAAGTATGATTATATTCCACTAATATATGGCCAGTATTGATATCTTGTTCTTTGTTTCAGTTACTATTAGGGTTTCTCATTTCCCGGGAAATTTGCCTCCAGCGGGATTACGGGAAAAATAATTTGTTTTCCCGGGATCCCGGGAAATTCCGGGATGAGATAGTAAAATAGAATTTTATATAGATAAAAAAGATCATACAGGAATATCATAAATTTGAATAATTTAATTTACTTTCTAGTAAGTAACTAAAAGTGTAGGGCCAATCTCACCCATACGGACACGTTAGGCTCAATTAATTTATGTTCTCCTACATTATAAGATGAAAGTAAAATAAAGCGTTTCATTGGGAGTTTTAATGATTACGAAAAAAATACTATTTTATTTCTAAAGATGAAATAAAAAATAAACTAAAGTGCGATGAGTGATACTTACTTACAGCGAGTGCTCTGCTGTTCAATGATGCGCAATCACAATACTTAGATATTACATGAACTAACAAGTAAAGACTTGTAAAACATAGGTAATAATATGCAGCATGAAACCTCAAAATTTCTCTCTTAGGTGAGTCTTCAAGATGCAACTTTTTGTATAACAAATAATAGAAAGAAAACCTGACATGATAAATTATTATTGAAATGCGAGATTTCCCGGGAAAATAAAATTTCTCGGGATTTTTCTCGTAGGGAATAAACGGCGGGAATCCCAGGAAAGAAACCCTAGTTACTATCTCTTTCTTCCTCAATGTTATCTATTCTGTTATTGCTGTTCATATATGCTTTGGCTAACTTGCTTGTAACCAAGTTTTGTTGCAATATTTTCCAGGTGTTGTAACTCACTCCTTGTAGGTGCAGTGTGTGGATGCTCTTTTTATGAGAGATTGAAATGTAGCCATTTTATAAGTATATCGATTGCAAGAGGTTTCTGGTATAAAAATCAGAAAGGTGGTCTGGTTTGAAATAAATGTTAGTGAAATGTTGCCCTTCTGAAGTAATATTTGTAGATCTAAGAAGTGGACTTGCAAATCATTAGATTGGTCCAACTTGAGACTCTAGCCAAAAGGGTTGTTATTCATACTTTCCACAAATGCTTCTATATTATGTTTTTTTTTTCCATATGATGGTAATGTCATTTATGTGTCTTTTGTACATGTGGATGTGAGGAAGGAACAGTGGTAATATTCTTAGTTCCAACATACACACAAAGATTCCCCAATAATGGGCTGCCCATGGGCACACCTTGCTTCTGTATATACAAGGTGGGTCCCAAAAGTAAGTGTACTGATTTTTTATTTAATGACTGTGCAGCTTAACACATCATTAATTGGTATTTTCACATTGCTAGATATCTTAGCAGCATGTTTAGACCTGTTTCAAGTTGATCAGTTAAGTCAAACGTGCACAATCTGTTTGTGTAAGGTAGTGTTTTAACACATTGTTATGTTTGAAATGGAGAAAAATCTTGAACATTAGGCTATCAAGTTTTGTGTGAAACTGAAGAAATCTGCAACCAAGACATTTGCAGATTTAATCAAAGCTTATGGAAATGCCACTTTATCGAGAAACATGGTGGAAAACATCAAAAAAGTTGCAATCGATGAACTAAACACCCTTATGGAAAATGATTGCTATGATCAGTGAAAAAAACTTTCACTGTGTGACCTTGCAAGGGTCATACTTTGAAGGAGATCATCTGTAGTTTGATGTAACAAATGTGTATTTTGAAATAAAAAATCAATACACTTACTTTTGGGACAGACCGTGTAAATGCTGCTGTTATATTGGAAGAAGGAGGAATAACAGACCATGAGTGCTAGATTCAAGATATGTTGATGATGTGTAGGTTCTCTTGCTGTTTGAAAAAGCCAATTCCTTAATATGCAAAAACATGGTTGTAGTTTGATGGATTGATACATAATCTGGCATGGTCATGTAAGTATCTCTGCTTATTCTGATCTGTTTCATTTCATTGATTAATTGCTTTGAGATGTGTTTTATATGGTTTTCTTTGTGTTTTCACGCCGTCCGTGACGCACTTAAGACCCCCAGTAAGACAGTAATACAAAACTTACTCTGAATACTTTATTCAGGGTTCTACTTGGACCGGACGATCTCCAGTCGCATACATTAATCAGGGCCGTCCATCTTGCACGTGCCGCTCTCTCTCTGGTGTTGCCAGATCTTTCCGTAACATGTTCCTTTTTTTTTTTTTTACAAATGAAATGACTAAACATATAAAACTTAAATACATACATATTTACAAATTGAGTCGAACAGGAGCTTTAATGATTCTTCCTGATCTAGTTTTTCGTGTCGGAGTTTGAAACTCTTTTTCTTTGGAGATTACTCCTTCTTCCTTTTCCTCAGCTTCTTCCTTTCCATTTTCTTGTTTCTCTTCACCTTTCTCTTGAGGTGCTTTTCTGGGGCTGTGATTCGGTTTCAGATGTACTCTGTTTCATCGGTACTGTTGACCGTGTGAATCTTCCATTAAGTATGATCTGGGTTCATTTAGAGGTTTTACAACAGTTGCCGGAGACCATTCTTTTCCTGTGTGCACTAAAACTTGTGTTGACGGTCTCAATGGATTGAGGGGAACACTACCTCTGTCATAATACATTGACATCTTGTTCTGATTCTGCTCCAGTTGTTGTTGGATATCCTCTCTACGAAATTGGAATTGGTGATAATGGGATGATTTGCATGGAAGTGTTGACCTTATGTTCCTTCCCATGCACAGCTGAGCTGGTGATGGTAACAAGTTCCTAGGAGTGTTTCTCCAGTTTTGCAAAGCCAAATACTGATCTTGACCTGCTTCTGATGTCTTTTTAAGTATGTTTTTTATTGTTTGCACATGTTGTTCTATGTGGCCATTACTCTGGGGATATCGAGGACTAGATGTACTATGCTTGATACTCCATTTGTCACAGAAGTGATTAAAAGCTACTGATGAGAATGGGGGACCATTATCAGTCATTAATATTTCTGGACTTCCAAATCGCGAAAAAGTTTCTTTGAACTTGGGAATAACTTTGGAAGCATCAGTCGATTTGGAAGCATTTTATAAACTTCTGGATAGGCACTGTATCTATCCACAATTAGCAAATATGGACTGCTGGCCAAATAGAAAATATCCGCTGTTGCTTCTTGCCATGGATATGTAGGAATTCTGTGGGGTATCAAAGGTTCTTTTGTCTGAGCTGGTCGAAATCTTTGACATTGTCTACAAGATTTTACTGCTTCTTCTATGTCACGATTCATTCCTGGCCAGTATACCTTATTCCTCGCTCTGCTGAGTGAAGCGTTGATTCCTAGATGTGCAGCATGAATTTGCTGTAGAACTTTGGTTCTTTGTTTCTCTGGAATTACTATGGCAGGTCCTTTACATATAATATCCTTCCATAGGTATAGGTCTTCTTTAAAATCGTAGTAGGGTTTGATGCTTGAAGGGATAGACTTTTTATGTACTGGCCATCCTTCTGATATGTATTTCTTTACAGTCTGCAGATTTTGATCTTGTCTCGTGTTTTCAGCTAATTCTATGAGTTTGGTGTCTGTGATTTTCATACCAACTGTTCTTATTAATACTTGTTCATCTAGGTCTGGTGTTGAGAAATTGGGTGTAGGATGCCTTATGTCCCTTGAAAGAATATCTGCAATGAGATTNGCCCTAACTGTCTTAATCTTATCAACAACTGGAAAGTTCACGATGAGAACAGTCTTAGTGACCATGCCTACATTTCCTACTCTCTGAACGCCAATGACAAAGCCTCGAACACCAGTTTCTCTAATTATGCAAGGTACAACCTTACCCATTCAGACCTGAAAGGAATGCAGGACTATCTACAAAACAATCTACATAATTACACATACAACAATAAGGAGGAAGCAGAACAGACCCTGGAGAGAAACATCAGCAAAATCAGGTATGCATGTGAGAAATTCATCCCAAAGACCATCCCGAAGCATAAATCAGTACCCTGGTGGAATGCAAACCTCACTAACCTTAGAAAAGCCAATAATAAATTGAGAAAAACCTATCAAAATTGCAAAACTGAACCTAACCGAACTCACCTAAAGCAGCGATTCCTCGATCACCAAAAGCTATATAAAGCAGAAATCAAAAAGGCCAAGATCTCCTCTTGGAGACAATTCTGCACATCTGCCTCTTCCAATCCATGGGGATATCTCACTAAACTGTGTACCAATAAACTAAAGAAAACTCAAATCCTCACTGTGGACAGCAATTACAACAGCAGCAACTTCCCTGACATTCTTAACAAGCAAATGGACAAGTTTTGTATAGTAGACAACCCGGAACTTGACACACGCTGGCAACAAAACATACGTCAGGAGATGAACAACCCAATTGGTACTGATAACGCTCCGGTTTTTCAATACCATGAAATAGACAATGCAATCACAAGACTTAATGACAGGAAATCACCTGGCACTGATGGAATCGATGCAAAAATAGCCAAAGAAATATGGAAAATGATACCGAATCATATTGTAAATATGTACAACTGTTTCACCATAGCATATTTCTTGCTGGATGGAAAACAGCAAAAATTGTCCCAGTTCCAAAACCTGGTCGTCCTGATGAATTGAGGCCAATCTCCCTCCTCCCTGTCTTCGGCAAAGTCCTAGAGCGCTTGATTACCAACCGTCTTACCTGGCACGTTGATAGTAATAACATCCTAAATGACACACAATTTGGGTTCCGTCACCAACGTTCCTCTAATGATGCCATCCACCATGCAATCCATAATATCAATAGCCTTCTTAACCAACACAAATATGTTCTGGCCATCAGCCTCGACATTAGCAAAGCTTTTGATAGCGCCTGGTGGCCATTAATTCTCTATAACTTAAAGTCAATAAATTGCCCAGCAAATATCTACAATCTTCTGAAGGACTATCTGAACAACCGCAGTGCCTACTTACAGTACGGAACAAATGCCACAAATAGAAGTATTGTTCGCGGCTGCCCGCAGGGTTCAGTCTGTGGTCCTCTACTATGGAACATAACCTTTAACACCTTTTTGTCCCAGAGCTTCGGCCAGGACAGCACCACTGCATTTGCCGACGATGTTCTTATTCTTATTGGTGGCAGATCCCGTGCACATCTTGAAAATAAGGGCACCAACACACTTACCAGGATACATGAGTGGGGTCTAGAACACAAACTCCTCTTCAACCCCAATAAGACCAAGGCCATGGTCATAAACAAACCAGGCAAACCCAACCTGTACCGACGAGTACCGACTATCAAAATGGATAACAGAAGTATTAAAGTTGAGAAATCAATCAGATACCTGGGTGTGCTTCTAGACCATCGTTTAAGCTGGGATGAACATATCAAGGATGTCTGCAAACGCACTGGCCATATATTCAGTGCCTTCGGAAAAGTGGCAAAAAACAAATGGGGACTACAATCCGAAGCACTCAGTATCATATACAACCAAATCTACATCCCTATAGTCACCTACGCCTGCGGTAGTTGGGGGTGGGCTGCACACAAGGTCCACTTAAAGTGGAAACTTGTCTCCTCCCAACGTAAAGCCCTTCTTCTCCTCTCCAAAGCTTACAGAACCACTCCGAGCAATAGCCTCCAGATCATTACACGTAAGCCACCAATTGTGAATATTATCAACCTTTATTACAACTATTGGAGCATAAAATGGGGCAATGACATCTCAACTCACTCTTGCAACATTTCAGCCAACCAACTGGAAAAGTACACTCCTGTTAATACCATTCCACCGTTTGTTCAGACTTATCTAAATACCACCCCTCCACAAAGCAGTGACATCCAAATCTACACAGATGGTTCGAAAACCGAGGGTGGGGTGGGCTGTGCTTTTGTGGCATACCAGAATGATCAAGAGATTCACTACAAGCAGAACAAGCTATCTGACTATTGCTCCGCTTTTCAGGCAGAGCTCACAGCAATCAATACGGCAATCAGCTGGGCCACGCAACATTACGACCACATGAACATTGTNGAAATTTTTTTCCATTCTTGGACTAAAACCTCTTATAAAATTTTGAAATTAGAAAAAAACATATTTCTTTAAACTTTGCTTATAGATGTTCTACAGGGTGGATGTCAGGTGATTGTGGAGAAGTCAGTAGAAAATGAGAAACATTACTTTCAGCAATGTAATGATCCCAACATTGTGTTTATGTTGCGCATCAATGGATTGCCTGTAACAACTGGACAGATTCAGTTTTTCTACACTTCACTTGAATTTATTAAAAAATAGTCTACATTAAACATGTTTATCCATTATTTGTCTAATTGCCCCCAATTTTCCTGTTCTAGCTGTTGACATAAAACCTCAAATGAACAGATTTCTATCCCCCACTTTTTGATAAATGTTCCCTGATATTCTTGGGAGGCCATCTTTCTCCTACATGCCCCTACACACACTTTTTACCAATGCTATCACAGGCATTAAATTTGCTTTCATCTTAGAAAAATAGCCCCTTTAGTACTGGAGAAATGTATTTTTCTAATACTTTTCAAAAATTTATTGAAAAATGAATTACAATTTGCAANACTATTCCAATCATCAACAGTAATAAACAACATCCGATCGCATCCAATATCAGAGACAACCTAAGCAACACCACTAACTTCGTCTATATTACTTGGACACGTGGCCATCAGGGCAACATCGGTAACGAGAGGGCCGATCATCTCGCCAAAGCGGCAGCTACCAATGACACCTTGGACACTGTCTACGACAAAATCAGTCACACCACCGTCAAGAAACTGCTATATGAAGATGTAATACACTTTTGGCAATGCGACTGGACAAGGAACCACAACACTACTACATATAATTACGTCCCGAATATCATAGATTACTACAAGTACAACTGGATTAAGCCCAGCAGCCACCTCTGCCAATTTCTCACCAACCACGGGAAATTCTCTTCCTATCTCCATAGATTCGCGATCAAAAGTACCCCCCTGTGTGACATTTGCAACCTGGAGGACAACGCCGACCATAGACTTTATAGCTGTGTGTGCCTGGAACATGAAAGGTTAAACATAAAACTCGTTGCCTCGAAGCACAACATTCCCTGGCCGTGCCACCACAAAGACTTTCTAGAAAACAAAGAACTATATATAACCTTCGAAGCTCTGATCAAAAGACACAGTTCTCTTGTTACCAGCACATCCAGCCACTAACTTACTCCTGCTGTCAAATAGCTTTGTTTAGCTTCATGTACTGTTCATCTATGTAATCCACTGTCACCTCTGCAGCCTCCTGCTGCACTTGCACTGCATAAATGTATTGTTTTGGGAAATTTACTTCATAATTATCTTTACTGTCTTGTGTATGTTTTATTATTTATTGTACTCTTATTGCAATTCATATATTATTCTCCATCTCACTGTATTATATTGTATTTTTTATTGTATCCTATTCTTTATTGTACTCAAACCCACTGTATACGTTACCTTAACTGTTCTTTACAAGCCATTGTATACCATTGTTATTGGTTCTTAAAATTGTAAGATTTCATTACTCTTGTATTTACTAGTTTTAATACCTCATCATTAACCTACTCCGCTTTACATTTTGTAACCGCGATACAACTGTAATTTTACTGTATATATTTAACTCGGCAATGCTCCGCGGTACCGAGTATGTAGTGTACAATGTACCTGAATAAAAATACTGACTGACTGACTGTAATTGCTGCTCCTAGAGCATGTTNACACACACTTTTTACCAATGCTATCACAGGCATTAAATTTGCTTTCATCTTAGAAAAATAGCCCCTTTAGTACTGGAGAAATGTATTTTTCTAATACTTTTCAAAAATTTATTGAAAAATGAATTACAATTTGCAATGATTTTTCTGATGCAATGCATACTTTATATTTAGCTTTATGCAAAGTCCTGCTTATAGATTTATGTACTGTAATGCCAAATAATTCTTCAAGCTGTATTTTGAGTTACTTAAATCAGACTACTCGCTCACTGTATTTAATGAGAAACTTTTCTTTTGTACCTTCCAGTTCTCACAGCCAACCACTTCTTATATAATAGAGATTCTATGGATAATATATCCATAGAATCTCTATTATATAAGAAGTGGTTGGCTGTGGTTCTATGGTGATAGTGATTCTATGGATATATTATCCATAGAATCATCATTTACTAATGCTCTGTATTGTTTAATAACATTCTTTACTAAAGATGCTATAATACAAGTATATATATCTGTAGACTGAGAATAATTTCTCTTTCTTGTATGGATAATTCCCTCCTTTAATTAGCCACCTACATTTGCGTAATTTAAGTTTTTTCTTCCAAATTTTGATCAAATGTATTGTATTTTACTGTAAGTATTGTTACTTTTTATTTTACTACTTAAGAGATTTAAAATTAAACGTAGTATCTTTCTGATTCCTGAGAATTATCAGTATATCTTCAAAAAAACCTTTTGCTGTATGCAACTTTTGCAACAAGTTAGAATGCAATTTATGCTTAGTAACATGTCATTAGATAATAACAGCTGTACGTTTTAAGTAATTACATAAATATATAAATATAGTATCTGTATTTTAGTTACTGTGAATATGTTTTTTAAAATTTATGTACATATTGTGTCATTCACTTATCGTGTATGCACACTTTTGCAACACACTGCATATAAGAGTCTCTTTTACTTTCTCAGCTGTTATTTCTGTTATACATATGGCGCTCGGTCAAAAAATGATCCCCACCAAGATTTTTACATTTTAGGACTCAAGACGCCTTGACACGTCAAAAAATTGAAATGAAAATTTTTCTGGCACACATCTACGTACCAATCTTGTTTTTTTATTTTTATTTTTTAGTCTATTGTGCCGAGGGTCTAGAAAGTTGATTACTACTACTATAACAGCTTCTGAATTTTTATTTAGAAAATCATTAACCAATTTATTTATTGATAAATGTTCCCTGATATTCTTGGGAAGCCATCTTTCTCCTACATGCCCCTACACACACTTTTTACCAATGCTATCACAGGCATTAAATTTGCTTTCATCTTAGAAAAATAGCCCCTTTAGTACTGGAGAAATGTATTTTTCTAATACTTTTCAAAAATTTATTGAAAAATGAATTACAATTTGCAATGATTTTTCTGATGCAATGCATACTTTATATTTAGCTTTATGCAAAGTCCTGCTTATAGATTTATGTACTGTAATGCCAAATAATTCTTCAAGCTGTATTTTGAGTTACTTAAATCAGACTACTCGCTCACTGTATTTAATGAGAAACTTTTCTTTTGTACCTTCCAGTTCTCACAGCCAACCACTTCTTATATACTTGTATTATAGCATCTTTAGTAAAGAATGTTATTAAACAATACAGAGCATTAGTAAATGATGATTATATTATCCATAGAATCTCTATTATATATCTGTAGACTGAGAATAATTTCTCNACAAAACACATACAAATAATTGTAATTTTTTTTTAAACAAATATTTGTTTCATTCTCTATACTTTTTTTTTGCATTTGATAATGCAAAAAGTGTAAAAAATGAAACAGATATGACCTGTAATTAATAATATACAATATATAATTACAAAACTATGACTTATTTATTGAACCAAACTACTGATCAGATACTACATATTATATTTATTATTACATTTTCAAAATGGATACCTGAATGCTACTGTTCTAATAAAAGAATAATAATAAAATTAATAAATCTAATTTTAAACAATAAAAGAATGAAATTTACACACATGCAACAATAGAAGAATGCTTTTACTCTTTTGTAACAGAACATTTTCAAGCTTTACAGATTATAAAATAAATACAACCAAATCATAGATAGGAAATATTGGTTACTGTAACAATAAAAAAGATGAAAGATAATTTATCCACAAAAACAGTTTTTAAAATTTATCACAATTAAAATATATAACATTGCTTAACTATATTTAATTTTACTAATAAGTAATAATAGTATAATAAACAAAGTTGAACACGGTTTACAATTATTGACACAATTTAATTGGACAATGAAAGTTTACAAATAATTATTCCTTAACTCTGTAAATATATTAAAACTAAATATGATAAAACATTAGAAACAGCTTAATAATATAATTGTGACAATTTATTGTTTACCATAACAATATATCTATTTGATTCCATTGTATTCTATTTTAGAATAGAAACTTAGACTAAAAATTAAAGATTTTAAACAATAAAAACTCTATATGGTTTTTGATCTTTTTTCATTCTTTACAGCACAGAATCTATGCTATAAAGAATGAAAAATCAAACAAAGATTAAAAGTANTTAACCTACTCCGCTTTACATTTTGTAACCGCGATACAACTGTAATTTTACTGTATATATTTAACTCGGCAATGCTCCGCGGTACCGAGTATGTAGTGTACAATGTACCTGAATAAAAATACTGACTGACTGACTGACTGGCAACACTCATTCAACCACGAAAGGGAGCCAGTATTTAAACGAGGCTTAATTTTCTAATTTTTAACAATACAATAGCGACAATTATTATTTAAAAAAATTTTTGTTAGGCTTAACATTGATGAAAATTCAATGCAAAGTAGGTTAATAGCAATATACTAATATACTAATTACATGGGATATAATAATATACTACACTAATAATGGATATTTTCATACTTTTCGGTTATTCGACCAACCCCAGTCCCCAAATGGGTCGGATAATCGAGGCTCTACTGTATAATGAAAATTTCAGTATAATGTAATAAAAATTCTGTCTGTTGCGAAAGAATATTTTCATTATAACAAAATCTATAAATGCATAATTCATTATTAGTAAATGATGAATATTATGTCAAACAATCTGGCAACATTAATTTTAATGTCTAGTTCAACTGCAACACTAATTTTAATCCTTAGTGATGGTTTTGTGTTGATGTTATTACTCTACAGTTTATTTCTTTTTAAGTTCATGAGAAAAAAGAGAAAAAAACAAAAAGTTTAAGCAGTTTTCTTTGGAAGAGAATAATAAAATATTAGATAACATGCAAAAAAGGAATTAAACAAAAAGATATGCCTGACAACCTACTGGAATTCTGTCTCACAGTATTAGATTTTATCAAAAAGCTAATTTTTGTGTGTGTTGTTTCTTTAATCAGACTTTTTTACCAGAAAATGATGGCTTCAAGCAGAAATAACAATTAGAGAGGCAGGATTTCAACTAATCGGTACTACTAACTATATCATTAGTTTAGTTGTTTGGTCGTGATATTTTTTGATTATAAATTTGTATTAAATTAGAATAAAAATTAATTTACTTATATCCTGAAAATTTATCTATTAGTATTTATATAGAATCAAAGTTTTTAAAAATGTAATTTTTCTTCAAAATGTAAGCATGTTTTTTGTTTATCAATAAATTTCTTTCATCCTTTCATTTTTGACTATATTTCAATATAATGAAAATATTTCAATGATCCCCTCAATTTCATTATACTGACATTTCACTGTATAGTTACTTCAAAATGTAAGCATGTTTTTTGTTTATCAATAAATTTCTTTCATCCTTTCATTTTTGACTGTATTTCAATATAATGAAAATATTTCAATGATCCCCTCAATTTCATTATACTGACATTTCACTGTATAGTTACAGAATAAATTATTGAATAAAGTATATCAAAAAGAACAAAAGAAAGATAAAGATATAATATGCAAAATGAAAATGATATATATAGTATTTAAATTCTTTTTACATATAATCCAAGGAACAAATATAGGAAAAACTAGGAGAAAACTAATTGAGGATTAGAAAAAACATTGCAGATCTTAAACATAATAGATTCACCTCAGTGACGAGAATGTAATATAAATAAAGTGAAAGCTAAAATAGCAAATTATAGAAGAGATTCTTGCATTGGAAGTTTAAAGAATATGTACAGTAAATATTAAAAATGTAAACAATCCAGATTTTTGTTAATTGGATTTTTTTTTTATTTGTTTAGATTAGTCTTATCAAGAAAAGCAAGTTAAGGACTAGACATAACATGTTTTTATAAATAAATCCGTGATTATTTTTCCATGAATATCTTGGCAAAAACAAATTTGGTTTGGATTAGTGAAAGCACACTGTACTTGGAAAAACTTAGCTTAAAACTACGAATATTAGAAAGAAATTATAACAAAAATATCTCCAAACTAGAACAGAAAAAAATTTAATGGTATAACCATGTCAGTTTATATATATAGCATTATGCTGGATTCATTAAACTCTATCATGATGATGCTATAATATGAAGTAAAATTGGTTCAATCATTGTAAATCAAACTCTGATTTCCAATGATTGAATTGCTTCTTTATTAAGTTTCTCCTGAAAATAATATGATATTTTATAGTTCAAATTATAAGATATTTAAATGTGATATTTTTAGGCTAAGATATTGTAAACTGTTCATACCTGTTGTAAAGAAGTTTATTATATTGCTAAAAAGTAATAATTGATAAAATTACATTACATAACATATAAAATTTCAATTATATTAATTTTTTCATATATATTATTCTTGTTACAGTTGTAGAATGTAACAGAAAATTGATTTTGTACAATGAATTAATTACTAAAAAATGATTCAACAGTTTAATTGAAACAGTTTTTAATTTATATATCAGTTGTCTTAAAAGATCAAAATTTATCAACAACTTGTGTTAGTTAAAAATGTTAAATTATGCTATGTAATTACTAATTAATTTTTATATTTCATAATAATAATAGTAATTTGTTTGTTTGTTTTTTAGTGCCTAATGTGGTGTTCTATCAAGATAAAAGTACAGAGAACAATTTACATGGTAAGATTTTTTTTTATTTTAAATTGATTAGATCTGCATTAAAAAATTAATAAATAATATTTATATTGACTTAATACAGAAATGTTTAAATTGACTATAAAAGCCAGTCTAAAAGGCAGCTTGATTGCACTACTTTGATATACAGTATAGAGTTTTCATAATAAGGCTTCATTTGCTTGAAAGATTTGGAACATGCTTTTGAAAAGGTTCAAATCTGAAACTAAAAATGTTTTTTTTTAAAAAAACATTGAAGAATTCATTTTTAAAGATTGGTCTTAAAGATGTATGTGCATAGACCGAGATTGTACATTGGAATATTAAAAAAAGTTGTAATTTGTGATATTTGGTTACACAGAAGTACTATTTTTCTAGAAGAAATTTATCATCATAGCAAACAACTAGAGATGTTTTCAAAAATAATGTGAATTTTGGATAATCACAATAAACAGGAACGAGAATCATGCAAAACAAATTAACTCTCTCTTAAGCTAATCAAACTCTGCAAATTGAAACTTAAACATTTTTGAGGAAAACTGTTATAGTTGTGAATAAATTTACAAAATTAATTCAGATTAATAAATAGCTTTCATTCTAGCCCTATAATAATTTAGCATTGGAACAATAAGTAACCAGCAATAAGCTGGTTATTTATTGACTCACCTTATAAATGCTTATTGCAGTATTCAATCTGTTCTTCACGACATTGTGATACTTTAAATATAATTTTAAAACACATTTAAATTAAAATTAAAATCATTTTTGCTGAAAATTTCTCTCTCTCCATTCATTATAATTTGTTTTGGATTTTGCCTGTATTGACAATAACAACTGATACATTATGCATGCTAAGTAAATGAGACTACAATTAATGGACAACTCTGACTGCATTGGCCCTGACATTAAATGGACGAAAAGCTTATCAATTATCAAGTCCTGTTTACCTTTTTTTTTCTTTTGAGACAATCTACTAGTTTACAGTTAACTTAATTTGGTACTCTAGAAAATGGTGTATGAAACTATGCAATGTATTCCTACTAAGCTGATCTGCTTACAGGAAAGGCCCTCAAACTTGTGGATGCTTATGCAATTCATATTCCCCAGCCAACCCCTTCCTCTCAACAATATGTGCCTTCAGTGGTTTAGAGGGATCACTGCATTGTTCTAGTCTAAATGATGCATTAACACTAATATGCTCCTTCCTTTCCTATGTTTGATTGCAATGTCATAATTTTTTAGGGCTACAGCTCATGTGGTTAATTTTGTGTTATGTGGGGTACACAGTTTGTATGGATAATCCACAATGGCATATACCCCACAGAAAATTGCAAGAATGAAAATAAAATCTTTGTATAATACACTCTTTCAATGGCACCCCAAGGCATGGGGTACATGATCCCATGCCTTGGGGTGCCATTGAAAGAAAGAAAATTACTAGTATGCAGTTTAGAAGTTGCCATCTCAAGCATTAAAATGTTACTTTCTTTGGGAATAAGCACAAAATTGCTGTGTAGAATTTATTCAGGCTATTTTCACTCTTCAGTCCTTTCTTGTACAATTGTTAAAATTACATAATTTGTGCTTATTCCAAAAGAACAAGAAGCAATCAAGTATTACTTTTTCCATTTCATTTCTGTTAAAATCATTGTAGATATACATGGACAACCAAGCCCAAAGATTCTGTAATAAGCATATTAATTTCTGGATTATTTTGACTAGTTTTGATAACTATTAATAATTAATAAAATTTTTTTCTAAAGGTAGGATCTAACCATATCTTATACTAACAATAACTAATAATTAGAATAATTTTTGAATTTAATGTGGAATAATAATTATTGAAATTGAAACTAAAGATGACATTACCTTTTTGCTTTGTTTTAAACTCTGTAATGGAGAGGTTGCAGCCGAAGTTTTCATCTGTAAAATGTGAACATCGAGTGCTGCTATCTTGTAAGTGGCGTTTGACGTTCACGTTTTAAAGATGATAACTTCAACTGCAACCTCTCTATTGTATAAATTTTAAAATATTAAATAAATTTTGATCTGAGTATGCTTTAACAAACTATAATCACTGGCTACTCTTGTAATTTAATTGCAGGTGTTAAATAACTATCTCAATTTTGTATACAGTAGGTGATTGACGCTCAACCCAGTATATACTGATCGGATACTTTGAAACTCTCCCTTGTAATTCCAGTCTTTTATTTTTCTGACAGAAACAATTCTTTTATAGTATTACCAAGACTATCAGGTGGACACTCGTTAAGTTTTGTGTTGGTTTTTATTTTCAAAAGGTGAGAGTATAATAGTAAAGGTAGAGAGTGAGCAGATGTTTGATGTTGCTGGGCAGTAGGGCTTGAACAGGTCTACAATATGCTGCAGTTCTATCTTATCTTATCTAAGAAAGACAGTATAATCAAGAAGACTCAAGCAACTAAAGGAGTAACAAACAACACATCTGAGAAATAAAGAACATTGAAGAGCTCATAATGGAACCTGAAATGGTTCTGACAACAGAACACCACCAGGAAACTTGGTGAGATGTGTTCTCTTCTGAAAAAGAGGATTAATACTGATATCTACTATTAAAGATATCAGCATTATCTTTTGAAGAAGTGGGTGGATGTCAGAACAACGGTCTTAGAATGGCATCCAAACCAGGTTGAAGTTAATAGGATTGGGGATCTCTACAATTACAATTCTTCTCTCTCTCCAGGATTTTTCAGAAGTAATTAATAGCAATCGATATTAGAGAGATTCTTTATCCCCCACAAATGGAAAAAAACATGACTAATAAAAATGAGACTGTGTATATATGTATTTTTATTATTACATATATGCTTTCTTACTACATTTATTTATAATTTTTTATTTTTGGGGATCTCCAGAATGGATTAATCAAATTCCCATAGAAATCTACGGTAAATTGATAATCTGTTCCAAGACTTTGTTCGCTATCCGAATTATGTTCATTAACCGATCATTTATTTTTACATTAAATACAGTGGGTGAATTTATTTAAAAAAGTCAGTAAAAACACTGATTTTATTATTATTTTCAGTTAACTTTTTCTGAGTTTAATTTATCCAGTAGTATATTTATAAAATATATTTATTTAAGAATAATTCTTGGGCCCTTTATTATTATATTTATGATTCTAATATCTCAAAGCTCAAACAAGTGCCATATTAAATTGGGCTAATTTGTCTTAAGAGGAACTGCTAACAATCATGTTTAATTTATATCCTATTTCACATTTATAACTTGAATCATTTTTTAGTATATTTTTGTTCACATCTCTGATTACAACAATTGTAACAGTAGTACAATATTGCTACAAACTTTGTGATATGAATGTTTATACAATAATCAAGTTTAGTAGTTAATTTTTTTTAGTTTTATTGGAGTATATGCATCTTTTTGACTATTTCTCAAACAACCAAGTACTTGTAGACTTTGATAAAAAGATTTATATTATGGTATACATACATATATATATATAATGTATTCATTAAGATAGATTTTTGAATAGCATCTCTGAGTCTTAAGTTTTGCTTTTTTGTGAACAAAGTGTTTGTCAAAGTACCTACATCCAGTTGTAAATACAGTACATCGTGTTTTCCAGCTTGAACACCATATGAACAAATCATAACATTGTTCAAATACTGTTTCCATGGAAATTTGCCTTCCAAGATAGTTTTAAATTTTGAAATTCTGTAGTCCTTAAGTGAGTGGCATGATTACTCTGACAATTTTGGTTGTGTAATTTATTCTGTATCATTATCTGTATAAGGACCTGTGGCATGATATTTATTCCACTGCTGGCAAAGAAATCAGTGAAGAAAAACCCATAAACAAACAACATTTGGACTTGAAATCTGGAGATATTATTATTTAAAAAACAGCATGTAATCAAAACATTTTCTCTGTAAATATGCTTTAACCTTGGTCTGGCATAACACTAGACACTAGTATTAATTGAGTACAATATAATTCAGTAACATAGTAATAAAAATATTTACATATGTACAAAAAAATTTTATTATATTAATCTAAGGATGTCAGATTGATAACTCAAATTGAATTTTTAAACAGCCATGATTCAGACAAGTGCCCTATGCAGAGAACGTGTATAAAGAAAAATAAGTGAATAAATGTTACATAATTATTAATGAAAATATTCATATTTTATTAAATTTGAGAATGTACACAAAGTGATTTACTATAGTTTGAGTTGAGAATGTTGAGAAGTGATTTACTATAGTTTGAAACATGTTCTCTGTACTATTAGTAGATTATCTGAAGTTGATGGCAGTCCAATTTTTCATGGCCTTATGAAACCTGAGGATGTCAAATTGATATGATAGGATGTCAAAAACATTTATTACATTAAATATTTTTAGTGTTCATCTAAAAAAACAACAGTATACCAAGACTGTTAATGTTATTTCTATGTATAATTATTACTATTATAAAAATAAATTTAATAAGTATTAGTATTAATTATCTCATATCATAAATATTTAAAACTCTTCATGATGATGATAACTTATTTTAATACTAAATACTATTACCTAATTACTATTTGTTCATATAATTTTTTTTATAATAATAAAATTGATGGACATTGATAAGTTTCAGTTTTAAGCATGTTTGTTTAAAAATAATTTAACATATTTTACAATACTAATAATTTTAAAAATTGGGGAATTTACAACTTCCACATTAATGTTGATCACCAACATTTTTATGCTTATTTTAGTATAAACACTTGAGAAATTGCAAGTATTTTTCTAAAAAACAAAATTTTAGATTTGAATGATACTTGAATTATGAAAATCATTCATATGGACATAATGTAATAATAAGTGAACTGCAATATCAGTGAATTGAGACTGTTTTTTCTCTATATAATATTCACAATTAATATTTTAAAAGTGATATAGATAATCATTAAAAACTCTTGCTATGATACATTACCATATTTTATGGCATACAAGATAATATGTATTTAATTCATCTTATGCCTTCAGTACTCAAACCAAATTTTTTACTGTGTTCTGGTTAAAAAAAAGTAAAATTAAAATGCACACTTTTAAACCCCATCTTTCCTGATAAATAAAAATCATTTAAAGTTAAACTTTACTATTAAAATATTTTACATAGAGATATGCAAAAGCTATTTAGCTGTAGCAAAAAAAAAAAAAACAATAATTAAACAACAACATTTTTATTAAACATTATGAAATAGTTTGGCTAAGTAGAAGTTACCTAAAGGCCATTTGAGGAATTCATTAGCTGTGGGAGAAAAGCACAATTAATATTTTAAAAGTGATATAGATAATCATTAGCTGTGGGAGAAAAAGCCCTGCAACTTATATGTGAAGTTGCACATATAAGTTGCAGGGCTTTTTTTAGCCTGAATGCTGTAAAGTTGCATATTATATGCTGTAAAATATGGTAGTTAAATTAAAATTTAATAATTTAGCAATAGAAATGAATAATAAATAAGTACATTTTATATTTTCTGATTTTACATATATTTTCTCCTTTCAGATTTCAAGCGTTTTGATCTAGACTCATTCTTTGAGCAACGTTTTTCACCAACTAATTCTCAATCTGCATAAACAATCCAAAGGTGGTGGTGCAAGAAGAAAACAACTGCCACCAATATTGTTATTTTGATCAGTCAGTTATAAACCTTTATGTATTTGGGGATTTCTATACAGATTTTATTTTCTTTTGTGTGTGCATATTTCTTATATAAATGGTTACAAAGTTAGTCTTTATATAACTAAATTTTATATGGTATTGTTTTTAGCAGATGACAATATGTATTTTTTGTGTTGTTGCATGAAAAATAGTTTTTGTATAGTTTTATTTTATGAATTCAAAGATTCTTTAATTTTTATTTTTGTGTGATGATGATGACGTTGTTGTTGATGATATGGAGATGAAGATAAAGAGATCTGCACACTAAGGCACTCTGTATAGTGTCAATTATACATATATATATACATACATATATATATACAATATATTTGCCAAATTGGACAGATTTTTTTTCTAAAATAAAAATAAGTCAATATATTTAATTTATTTATTTCCAGAAAATTTTTTTATAAAAATAATTTGTGTAAGAATTCATTGTTTAATTTTTAGGAATAAATCATCAGATCTTATATTGTAATTTTTTTTTAAACAAATATTTGTTTCATTCTCTATACTTTTTTTTGCATTTGATAATGCAAAAAGTGTAAAAAATGAAACAGATATGACCTGTAATTAATAATATACAATATATAATTACAAAACTATGACTTATTTATTGAACCAAACTACTGATCAGATACTACATATTATATTTATTATTACATTTTCAAAATGGATACCTGAATGCTACTGTTCTAATAAAAGAATAATAATAAAATTAATAAATCTAATTTTAAACAATAAAAGAATGAAATTTACACACATGCAACAATAGAAGAATGCTTTTACTCTTTTGTAACAGAACATTTTCAAGCTTTACAGATTATAAAATAAATACAACCAAATCATAGATAGGAAATATTGGTTACTGTAACAATAAAAAAGATGAAAGATAATTTATCCACAAAAACAGTTTTTAAAATTTATCACAATTAAAATATATAACATTGCTTAACTATATTTAATTTTACTAATAAGTAATAATAGTATAATAAACAAAGTTGAACACGGTTTACAATTATTGACACAATTTAATTGGACAATGAAAGTTTACAAATAATTATTCCTTAACTCTGTAAATATATTAAAACTAAATATGATAAAACATTAGAAACAGCTTAATAATATAATTGTGACAATTTATTGTTTACCATAACAATATATCTATTTGATTCCATTGTATTCTATTTTAGAATAGAAACTTAGACTAAAAATTAAAGATTTTAAACAATAAAAACTCTATATGGTTTTTGATCTTTTTTCATTCTTTACAGCACAGAATCTATGCTATAAAGAATGAAAAATCAAACAAAGATTAAAAGTATTATTTTAACATTGTGTACAACTTTATTTTACTTTGTTATAAATACAGTTATTTAACCTTATATTGATAAAATAGAAAATGTCCATTTTTAGCTCCAAACAAAGCAGACTTTACAAAAAATCCATATTCTAGTGCTTTCAAGTTTACATGCATCTTGTAATAACATTGCATGAATCATCACAGAGGATATTATTTTTTTATTTTTAGTTTCAAGTATCAAGTAAAGAAGTTCTTGCTTTGTTACAAAACATTACATTCTAAAAAAAAAAATACAAAGGCAAAGTCTGAATGTTTTTGCAGTTCAGTTGTGGAATTCTGAATGTTAAAATTTTGAAACTTTTACAATATTTAGTCTCAGTGTTTGTAAAAAACTATTAACTTTATAAAACTGTATATAAGCAAATTGAATTGAGAAAAAAATTGTACAAAAAATATGTAAATATTACTCACAAAACTAAAAACATTGAAGGAAAACAAACATTTTCAATTGCCTTGAACAACCATCTTTAGGTTAAAAGAATTCATCAATTATTCCATTCAAATCTAATGTTATGATTTAAAATATAAAAAGAACGTCAACTGATTGGCAGCCAGTGTTTGTGTGGTTGCATCCAGATGTAAAAGTAATCAATAGTCAGTCAGTCTGACTTTTTTACTTGGAGAATCACTGTCATGACTATATACAGGAATCAGATTTGCCAATTTGTGAGGGTCAGTTTCTCCATCCCTAAACATCTAAAGTTTATTCAAAAGATAATTGTTTTTCTTAGGTAGTGTGCAAACTTTCAAGATTTTCTATAAATTAGTTGCTGAAATATAAGCAATTGAAAACTGCAAAAATTGTCAAAAAAGCTGTAGTTTTGTCATCTGGCACTGCAGACATCTGTAGAAAGAAAAAACTATTGGGTCTAGAAAGCTCAGTAACTTAAACATTTCTTGTTATCAGTGAGGTGCTCACAATACTTCTAGGTTGATAGGTCAAAGTTCATGGGCTTATCCGTAGGGCTATTTCAATTTTATGGTTTAATTTTATGCTTATAAAGATAAAATTGCATCAAAACAAGTGAATATTATTCAAAATGTTACTCAGAATAACACAAGCTCAAATTTATGCAAACTAAAAAGTTTTAATTATTCTAAATGGCACATTGAAAGCATTGGTTGGCACTGACCAAATTGCGTATTTTAGGCATTTGATCAGAACCAATGAAATTATACGTAATCATATATTTTGATGTAAAATTACAATTGCTATCCAAACAAAAACATTTTTTTGTTTGGATAACAATTGTTTTTTTGGAGATGGTGGAAGTTTTTTACATCTTGGATGTTTTTGTTTGGATATTCAATTTCAAATAATGCTCTCCAAGCTGGGGACAACATTGCTTTTGTAGTTTTTTGTTTCTGCTGCTCTTGTTAGAAATTTACAAGGCCAGCAGAAGCAACATGGTTATTAACTACAAAGGCAATGTTGTCCCCAGCTTGGAGAGCATTATTTGAAATTTAAAATTACTTTTACAATTGTATACAATCATGTGACTGCTGACTGCCAATTAAATGCAATGTTATAACTTAAAATATAAAAAGAACATCTCTTGTTCTGTTCCAAATCCATTCTTTTAACCTGAAGATGGTTGTTCAAAGCAATTGAAAATGTTTGTTTTCCTTCAGTGTTTTGTTCTAAGCTGGATTTTTAGTTTTATAAGCGATATTTATAATTTACATCCAATATACAGTATGTTTATAATAATAAATATATGTTAGGCATTGAAGGTGGATTGAATACTCTGAGAACATTTTTAAAAAATAGAAAGTGGACTTATAAAATTTATATTTTTTGTTTCTAGATTTTCAGGTTTTTCAACTTTGTTTCCAATAAAAACACTAGTATATTGGGTATATAGAGTTTGTGTGAAAAATCATAATCATTCTTGAAGCCTTTGGCCAGAAAGTCATTAATATAAAAGGGTATTTTATTTGCAGTGACAATAGTGTTGTAACTTATTAATTCTGAACTAAAATGCATGATAATTATAATTCTTTGATGTAGTTGCCAACCCACTGCCAAATTTCTGGGAGACAATAAACACTATCAACAGAATCATTTTTAAACAATATCTGATGAGACTACCATAAAGTAGAAAGTATGCTGTCAACATGTTGGAAATGTTTGCATCTAAGAAATTTTCACTTTTGAGTAAATATCAAAGTCACATGGACTCGTGTACAGCGAGTATGATGAGTGTTCCAGTATCCCACTGCCATCTGCTTAGCAATGTTCTCGTTTGTGATGAAAAACTGCTGCACACATTTTTGTGCAAGAAAATTATTGGATGTGATTTAGTAACTGTGGCTTTTGTGGCAAATTGCAGGATGATCAAAGAAATGGTGATAATATTTAGCATTAACTATACATATGATTTGTATCATAGGGACAGACCCCTATGATACAAATGAGACAAGAGAACAAGTTAAATGCAATGGTCATTAACACTTTCACCATTATCCTCTTGCTGTAGTTTCTTGGGTGTGAGGATGATTTGCAGTGCCATTCATTCAATTGACATATCAGCTCCAGTTTATAGAACTTATTGCAATTGACAAAATATGGGCTAACTCAATGAAGGATGGATTCCCACTTCATGTTTGTTATGTTCTAGTTGAATTTGAGCAGTTTACATTTGTTACCATTTCTGTATATTGTCAGAGTTCTGAGGTACCCATCAATGTTTGTACATTTCTAGCCGGGAACTCCAGTGCCTACTTCAGTAATCATTTCCTTGCAAGTCCATCAACAATCAGTTTCCAATAGTCTCAAAATTGCTTCCATGTGTTGTTGGTTATTGATTGGCTACTTATCACTATGCCTTATCTTCATATCCTCCCATCTGTGCCAAAAGGCTTCAAATCATTGGATAAAAGTATGGTTTGGCAATGCAACATTGCCATGTGCCTCATGCAATCACTTGTGACACTGCCAGACATTTGTCTATGTGCAACTTGAATTTTGATCAAACATTGTTCTTTTATTAACCTAAGCAATGTTTCCTTGTCAAGACAAGGAAACATTGCTTTGGGTAATAAAATAAGCACTTAAATATTTCACATTACAGTATTTATTTCTCAGCCATAAATGTAAGTGAAACAAAAATGCATCATTGCATACATAAACACTCAAGAAAAAATATTTAGTGGGCTTTTGGTAATTTGCCAGGTTATGGCCAGTTCCAGTGTTGCCTGGAATTAGCCAGGTCAAAAAAAAAGTCCTTGTATATCAAAAATTTGTTAAAATTATTATTGATCCAGCAACGTTCAGTTTTAGATAAGAAAATTATTCTTAAACATGGTATTTTCACTATGATATCAATCATAGTTTTTTGTATGACTTAAAGTTACATTGGAAGTTATCAGTGAGGGAAAATTTGAATAAATTATTCATAAAATTATCCAAGTGATGGTATTAAAACTGATTATGTATATTTTAGTAGGACTTCTTGTTAATGAGTTTTACTATCAAGAACAACCTGTAATGTATCAGATCTTTCACATAAAAAGTCAGGCATTAACTTGCTCTAGGATCTATTGAAATTAAATATTTTCTATTTGGTAAAGCTAATGTCAATGACACATTTTTGCCTGCCAGTAATACATTAAACACCATATTTCATTGCCAGTAATCATTAATCGTTCTGTGTAGAATAGTTGTGTA